ACCTTTTACACAGTACTTGTATCAGCCGAGCAGCATTTTCGTTTACGGTTCCTAGGTAGCTGCATATGATTTGCTTTATATGTATAGTGTAGATATGTGTTAATTTCTAACAAAACTAAACCATTATTTTAGCTGGTTTCGTCTTGGCCATCAATAAAAATATGCTTTTTGGGTTTTGAACTTTTGAAGTCATGCTCATCCTAGTGCCCTCTTACATGTAATATCAATTTTAAGAGAGCAAAACTTACTCGCATGTGACTGAAGTTTTGTAACTCTAAGCTGATCGCATAATATAAAATTCGCGACACAACACTTACGACCCATAAGGTGTAGTTGGAATTTACACGAAACAGTCTGAGGAGGACTTGAAATGTTTGACTCCCAGCGATGAGTCGATATAGTCCACAAAATTAAATCTGCAAAATCTTTTGCAAATACTAAGAATTCTTTCATAGACTTCGAGCATTTCAATAATCTCATTTTTTGTCTGCGATCGGAGTCCCCGGCGTACCAACACCGTATTGCTCCCTTCGTTTGCCTTTGTCTTATATTTGCTCCCTATTTTATGGACGGTTTATCACTTAGAAACGCGTAGTGTTAAGGCAACGGACATTTCGAAGTAATCCGAAGAAATTAAAATAGATTGATATCGTTCTCGCCACGTAAAAAGAGTGGTCAGGTTTGTGTAAATCGTACTTTTCCTCATAATTAAACTTCATACAGACGTAAGTGGACCCCACGACCATTTACCTTCCGAAATCAGGAAAAATTTCGATGAGTTCTTCCCGGTCTTTGCCCGCCTCGACAACGCAGCAATGGTTTGGAATTAAGCCTGACTCGATATATGAAGACGGCTAATTTTGTCCTGGGATAAGGAGTTCACAAAACACAATATACTTACCTTTGGCGGGAAAAGATTACAAGTCAGCACGTGCTCGCACGTGTCAAACCCGAACAAGATAAAAGACATATAATTGAACTCGCTTCAAAGCTTTTACTGAAAAGTAAGTTGAAGCACTTAGTACGATTTTAGTAACACTGACTTCTAATGCCCTGTTATTGAGTACCATTTTACCATATCGAGTTAAGAAGATATTATCAAGACATATAATTCATTCTGAATTTGACTTCCCCTGAGGTTTTGGAAACGTCAATCCCCAGTAACTGCCCAGGCGACCACGCTAGATGAAATACTGACACCCCTGGTGACGGGGCCATTTCCCTTTTAACGCTTTCTTTCATGTCATGATAGAAGGACTAAAAATGATGGTTACAGGTGATCTAAATGCTGGATGCAAACCATTTTCTTCTTCAAGCCTTTATTGTTTGGTTTCCTATAAGCTTATCTGCAGGTATGTATTTGAGCTTCTCAAAGTCACTTCTAAAGGATGGTTCAACAATCGTGTTCAAAAGCTATTTCCGCAGTACTGAAGATAAGCTCTGAATGGCCTGTGACCTTAAAATGGTATGACAGGTAAATTACGTAAAATACATTACAGAGGGTGATTAACATCCCTCGCAGGCATAAGTCAGGCATTTGCTCCCATTTCAATCCTGGGGATGAGGCATTTGAAATTTTGGTCGTGTGTGACATGAGGGGAGGGCATTAACCTACATTAACCTACCTATGGGATACCTCCAAAGCATTTGGCATCATAGATTTAGTCCTGCACTTGTCAGATACCCCATGCATGTTTTTGCTCTGTTCTTTTGACCAAATATCAATCATATGGAATTAATTTTGATATTTGATTTTTAAAAATATGACCTGAGATGATATGATGATGATGATCATTATTCCTTTACAGCCCTGGAGGACCATCAGGCACCCACTAGTACCCTGTACAAGGTTCCTTGCTTATGCTTTGGGCCACCCACTTGAGTAGCCCACTTGTTCAGCTCCTGTAGCGTGTCCTGGGCCATCCTTCTTCATCTCAGTTCACTTNAAATCTGAAGAGCCGATGAAAATGGACTGAAATGGTGAAACTCAAAGAAGATAAACAATTGGGTCAAAACTTCATTGAATTGAAACATATGGCAGTGGTAATCTTGTTAAATTATTTAAAACAAAGGAAATGCTTAGGAATTGCGAAGCTAAGTGACTAGGATGTGTTTTGACTCTGCCAATTTACAGTGGAGGGGAGCAGCACGGAAAAGGGCGGGAGGCGAGAGATAAAGGTACGGGAAGCGGGAGAGCAGGGTACGGGAGGCGGGAGGTTCTGACCCCCTGTCGCCCCCACGCCCCCTTCCCCACTAAATCAGTGGATTGGTATAAGTTCAGTGTTCTATAGTTTAAACATTTAAAGCCATGCCACATAATACTGTATTTGAAATAACCCTTTGTAATGTCATGATCTCTGAGCATTTTTTCTAAGGCAGCAGTTGTCGAGTTATTTGGGTTTAAAGTAGTCTTCAGTGAACAGCACGTGTTTACTTCAAGACGCCATCTTTAATGACTAGCATGCATCTCGCGCGTAACTAACTTGAAACCAAACAGAAGTGTTAGACTTCGACTCAAATGCCGCGATGGAGCAAAAGTACGGTGTAAAAGTACTGAGAGGGAAATTTGTCGAATTACGTTATTTGTTCTCGCGAATTTTCGTTCGAAATTTCGAGCCAACTGATGCGCCCTCTTATATTAAACCAAAATTCAATGAAAATTCTAGAAGGAAAAATAAAATTGTTTTACATGAAATATATATTCAGAACCCGCCAGTTTCATATTGTTAATGAAAATGCAAGCTAGAATGTATTGGATATATTTGTCTATTATTTACTAAATTATTAAGGGAACACTTGTTTCTTGTTGCAGAAAGTATAAATTTTTGAATCAACTATAATATAATCGTTGGATGTTTTAGGGTACTAAAAAGTTTACTTAAGGCAAGGTTTCTGATTTATGCTATCCTATTTCGATGCTGATCAAATTATACCCTTTGTTTCAGTAGCATGCCTGTAAACTCGGTAAGCCTAGTGCTTGAATAGCTAAGTGCATGACCACTATAAATAAGATTTACATTACATTTTTGCATTATGCGTTCTCCTTATATTGTGCTATTAACTGATACTTTTTAGAGGGAAAACTTCAGTTTATTCATAGTCCATTGAGCACCATCATTTCAGCTGTATTTACCGTTGCCTTGGTTAATTTTCTTGCGGGCGCTACTCGAGATAATGAAATAAAATTGAGGTCTAGTTTTTAAACGCGCTCTTCCTGAAAATAGTGATTTTGGATTCCATAACTTATCAGGACTTTGTTATCTAATTTTCTAGCCAAATCTTGGTCATTTTGTCGACGTTTTTGGACGTCGAAGTATGGGTGTTTGATTAAAATTCACATCTCGATCACACTTCATACAAAGTTGAAAAGAAACGTGTTCATACCGCAAATAGCACAATGGTGTCTCCTCGAATATTTGATTGTTATATCTCTCAGTACGCGCGCTGTGATTGGTCAATTTAACGGGCCGTATTCTCCTGTACGGTCCGCTAAAATTTAAAGTTGGTTTTGTTGCCAAACTGTTTCGTGATTCATCGATAAGTGTTTTAACTTTTATAGCAGTTTAAAACTTTCTTATACCCTAAATTATGTAATAAAGCGTGCTAACGACTTAAAAAAACAGTTTCAAACTGACTCGTTTTGCTTTCGAGGTGCGTCAGAAATTTGAAGCCATTCCGAGTCTGCGTGAATAGAAATAGTTTCCGAACCCGTCAGGCACACAGTAGAAGTAGGAGAACAGGTACAGTTAATGATATGGAACTAGGCGGAGCCAGAATTTAAGAAAGGTCAACCCACGAAGTTGGAATTATGCAATCTTTTTCTTGTAACACTTCTGCTGTAAGAAATTTTTAACAACAACTTTTACTTTTACTTAGTATAATCCTTAAATTTTGATCAATAGAAACAAAGATTGCAACTTTTATGTTACTAACGCTACTTTTTTCTGATCAACCACATAGGAATAGTTGGTTAAAATCTGAGTAGAAAATCTTGTAGTCACTGTGTATAGCTTCGAAGGAAAATGTGCTAAATAGCTTTGCGCGCAATCGCAGTAGTACTTAATGGGAACTGCGCATGCTATAACGTTAGCCTCAAATTAATGAATTGACAGTTGGACAGTTTGACAGTGATTTGATGGATCATGTGGTTGTCCCTTTAAAAAGAACGTGCAAAGTGAATTGTTCGCAGTAGTAGTTGTTGTAATCAATTGAACTGTTGTGAACTTGAGAACAGAGACTGAAATAAAAAGTAACCAAACTTGACGAGTGTGTTGGAGTAACAACTAATTCTCCTCAAAAGTTGCTTCAACAATATAGCTGGAAAGGTAGCAAGTTATAACTGCACTCTTGCGCAAAAAGTTAATTTACGAAGTTGTATTAAATTGTGTTAGTCTAAAAAAAATTTGCACTAGTAAAAGATGTGATCCACGTTTGAGATTTCTATATTTCTCGGTCTCCCAGCAACTAAACTACTCCATAAATCTCATTCCAATCAGCTTTGAAATTTTACTTGATGTATAAATAAATTGACGGTTGGTTGTATCAGTATTGCTAAGACAGTGATGAAACAGTCACTACAACGCAGTTGTAAAACTCCTTACTGGCTAGCTGATTGAAGTCAGTCAGTGTTCCTAGCTTGTTCCTGGAAGCCTGCTGCTTAAAGTCTGTGCGAAACTTGTTCGTTAACACCAGCTAACAAGGTCTGATTCGGATAAGAAACAATTTCCATGTGATTTGCACTTATTCTTCCCCTAACATTAAGAATGGCGATATCGAGTCAGGTCAGTCAGTGTCCTCCATAAAACACGGTTAAACAGTACTCTTTTTTAATTTGACTCAATTTTTCGTAGAATACAGAAGCTTGTCATGACCCTTTCTTTGTACAGTGCGCTGTCAGTACATGTAAACAGTATACACACGTACACATATGCGTACTTAAAAGAATGTCAGGTCCAGATATTTAACAGATTTTGTATTAAATCTTGCATATCTTTTACTTTCACAGTCATCCCAATTGTGTTTTCCTGAGTGTTGAGAAACAGAAATCCTTGGGATACCGCATCCATGACTTACTCCCTTACAAAAGTTACGCTCGAAAGAACCTTGGCTACCTCTATGCTATTCAACATGGCGCCAAAATCATCTATGAAACAGACGACGATAACTCTCCGACAAGTGGAAAAATAACTTTTTACCAGGAGGAAACTGGCGAATTCTTCGTCTACAGAACAGATTCTGTTGTTGTAAATCCATACGAACATTTTGGACAGAGTACGATTTGGCCTAGAGGATATCCGTTAGATCACATTGCTGACCCCCCATCACGCAAGTTTGTCCAATGCCTAGGGGCGGACACATCTATACAGCAGGGCGTAGTGAATGGTGACCCGGATGTAGACGCCATCTTTCGGTTAACAAGAAAAGACAAAGATGTGGATTTGAAAGTTGAGTTTGACGCTGATGCCTCACCTGTACTTCTTCCTCCAAAAACCATGGCTCCATTCAATTCCCAAAACACACTTTTTATGAACAAGGGATTGTGGGGCATGTTGCTGCCAATTACAGTAGCGTTTAGAGTCTGCGATATCTGGCGTGGTTACTGGGCTCAGCGGTTACTGTGGGATGTTGGATCACACCTGTCATTTTTCCCGCCAAACGCCGTTCAATTTCGAAACGCACACAACTATCTTGCAGATTTCATTGACGAGAAAATGCTCTACCACGATGCTGGGCGATTAGTTGAGTTTTTGATCAACTGGAAATCTAACAAACCAGATTTCTTTAGCAGAGTCCTGGATTTAAGTATAGCGATGGTTGAGCAAGGCTTCTGGGAAGTCAACGACGCCATTTTAACAGAGGCGTGGCTAACCGATTTAGTTAGCATTGGGTATAACATTCCAGCAATAAAACCTGTGCCGAGGCCATGTAGAAATACAATGGGTATGGAAACTGAACTAAACTTCAAAGAAAAGCCATCTGCATACTTAAGAGCCGGTAAAGAACTGAAACACGTATTATCCTTGCCGAAAAAATCATGAAAAGAGGCCGAAATTGATCCAAAACAATATTATAAAACTCATCATCACATGGATTATGCATAAATCATTTTAGGGATGGATTTTATTTCAGTTTCGAAGCAGTCATGTTATTTGTTCATATTGTAAATCGATGGCTTTTTTTATTTGTAAGTGTATGTAGTGTTAACATAGGAATGTCTCCAGATTGGTGCATTGGGGCTTTTAGTCATGTCCTTCTCCATACTGCGCCCCAACTAACTGAACACCTGGAAAAGGTTACAATTTCCTTATCGCAACATGGACACGATATTCCAAATTCTTTTCCTTTTGACCCTATTGTTCATAGTCACGTGTTGTTTGGAATTTGAATTCATCTGAGGTCATTACGTACTCAGCGCATTAAGTAAACAATTGGCCTTCGTAACGGTTGCTCAATGTTTTGGGTTCTACAACGCGCTGGCATCTTGTCTTTTAGTTTGGACTGTGTCATGTCGTTGTCGCGTTACGTTTTCTACATAGTATCAGCCGTGCCTAGTGATAGCTGTTATTGCAGTTATCAGTGGCTTGACACACAAACGAGGCGAAAGGGTCAATTCTGCATTGTATTGGCCTTTCGCCTCGTTTGCATGCCTTTTCAAACAAAAGAATATTTGACCGCAGACTCAACTGCAATAACAGCTATTGGCTGGTCAAACCTTTTACACAGTACTTGTATCAGCCGAGCAGCATTTTCGTTTACGGTTCCTAGGTAGCTGCATATGATTTGCTTTATATGTATAGTGTAGATATGTGTTAATTTCTAACAAAACTAAACCATTATTTTAGCTGGTTTCGTCTTGGCCATCAATAAAAATATGCTTTTTGGGTTTTGAACTTTTGAAGTCATGCTCATCCTAGTGCCCTCTTACATGTAATATCAATTTTAAGAGAGCAAAACTTACTCGCATGTGACTGAAGTTTTGTAACTCTAAGCTGATCGCATAATATAAAATTCGCGACACAACACTTACGACCCATAAGGTGTAGTTGGAATTTACACGAAACAGTCTGAGGAGGACTTGAAATGTTTGACTCCCAGCGATGAGTCGATATAGTCCACAAAATTAAATCTGCAAAATCTTTTGCAAATACTAAGAATTCTTTCATAGACTTCGAGCATTTCAATAATCTCATTTTTTGTCTGCGATCGGAGTCCCCGGCGTACCAACACCGTATTGCTCCCTTCGTTTGCCTTTGTCTTATATTTGCTCCCTATTTTATGGACGGTTTATCACTTAGAAACGCGTAGTGTTAAGGCAACGGACATTTCGAAGTAATCCGAAGAAATTAAAATAGATTGATATCGTTCTCGCCACGTAAAAAGAGTGGTCAGGTTTGTGTAAATCGTACTTTTCCTCATAATTAAACTTCATACAGACGTAAGTGGACCCCACGACCATTTACCTTCCGAAATCAGGAAAAATTTCGATGAGTTCTTCCCGGTCTTTGCCCGCCTCGACAACGCAGCAATGGTTTGGAATTAAGCCTGACTCGATATATGAAGACGGCTAATTTTGTCCTGGGATAAGGAGTTCACAAAACACAATATACTTACCTTTGGCGGGAAAAGATTACAAGTCAGCACGTGCTCGCACGTGTCAAACCCGAACAAGATAAAAGACATATAATTGAACTCGCTTCAAAGCTTTTACTGAAAAGTAAGTTGAAGCACTTAGTACGATTTTAGTAACACTGACTTCTAATGCCCTGTTATTGAGTACCATTTTACCATATCGAGTTAAGAAGATATTATCAAGACATATAATTCATTCTGAATTTGACTTCCCCTGAGGTTTTGGAAACGTCAATCCCCAGTAACTGCCCAGGCGACCACGCTAGATGAAATACTGACACCCCTGGTGACGGGGCCATTTCCCTTTTAACGCTTTCTTTCATGTCATGATAGAAGGACTAAAAATGATGGTTACAGGTGATCTAAATGCTGGATGCAAACCATTTTCTTCTTCAAGCCTTTATTGTTTGGTTTCCTATAAGCTTATCTGCAGGTATGTATTTGAGCTTCTCAAAGTCACTTCTAAAGGATGGTTCAACAATCGTGTTCAAAAGCTATTTCCGCAGTACTGAAGATAAGCTCTGAATGGCCTGTGACCTTAAAATGGTATGACAGGTAAATTACGTAAAATACATTACAGAGGGTGATTAACATCCCTCGCAGGCATAAGTCAGGCATTTGCTCCCATTTCAATCCTGGGGATGAGGCATTTGAAATTTTGGTCGTGTGTGACATGAGGGGAGGGCATTAACCTACATTAACCTACCTATGGGATACCTCCAAAGCATTTGGCATCATAGATTTAGTCCTGCACTTGTCAGATACCCCATGCATGTTTTTGCTCTGTTCTTTTGACCAAATATCAATCATATGGAATTAATTTTGATATTTGATTTTTAAAAATATGACCTGAGATGATATGATGATGATGATCATTATTCCTTTACAGCCCTGGAGGACCATCAGGCACCCACTAGTACCCTGTACAAGGTTCCTTGCTTATGCTTTGGGCCACCCACTTGAGTAGCCCACTTGTTCAGCTCCTGTAGCGTGTCCTGGGCCATCCTTCTTCATCTCAGTTCACTTGCCATCTGGTTGAGTTTGCTTGCCTCAAATAGAGTCCATGCATTCCAACCGCCATTCCTTGTCTTCAGGACTTCAGCTGGAGCAAGTTCATTGACATTTGGGTGCCCAGTTGGCAGGAGTTGAATTCAACTCAGTGGCTTCATTTTGAGTGATGGCTTGTGCCCCCCCTTTTCCACATGTACTGTACTGATTTTGGTTTCTGCAGTGTGCTATTTTGTAAAGAGCTCAGGTTGCTAGTCTTATGCCCTACCTCCAAGAAATGATCTTTTTCAAAGAAATCTCTTGCTTTGTTTAATGAAGGTGAGATCAGGCATCTTTGATTCTTCAAGTCGTACATTTAAACATTTTTTTTTTGAAGAACCTTTATGACAAGCTTTAATATTTTAAAAAATTAAATGTACACTGATGAATGAATTACAAAATAATAAACCCAAAACAAATTACAAAATATTAAACCTAAAGCAACTGTTGGATAGTGTTGTCTGGAGAGTTTTTATACAATAATTGGTGCTTTGTCAAAAGTAACATTAATGTATTTGAATGACAGATGGACAGACACACTTGTAAACAAAACAAGCATACAAAATAACTGTAACAACCTTTTCTCATAGTGATTACTAAATCTTGTGTAGAAAAATTATTAATGTCACCCCTCAGGGAGGTGGCAAGCTTAAAACAGGGCCGAGGGGTGAGGGGTGGGTAGTCTGAGTAACACTCTTGTTAGCCTCAAGAGCTCTCCAGTTAACCTGAATGATATTCAGATTGGCCTGTTCACAGTTAGCTCTCAGTAATTGTTAAGACAACACCCCTCATCCCATGCCCCCCTCCCCCACCCCCATTTTGACCCCACCCTGTGAAATTTGCTAATTCTTTTACAAAATACTAATGCCAATGGGTTGGTCCATGGGGCGTGCCACTGCTAGAATTAATTGATGCATAGAAGCTTAAAATTGACGTAAAATTCATTTTAAAGTACTACTATTTATACGTCTGGATTCAATTGTCTTGAGCTCTAGTTAAGCGCTGTAATTTCCGTAATTTTACTAGAAGCGGGCGTAAATTGATAATTTATGAGTTTTGACACCAGAGTATTGGAGAGACGAAGAATCTTCTTGTCTTTAACATCATAATAGACTGCGTTTCCTTGGTGAATATTTCGGCCGCAAAATACCCAATGTCTCGTGACCAAGTTTAGCAGCTGGTAATGTTCGCACAAATGTGCTAATAATTAAACATTCCCACAAGTCTTACAGCAGCGTTCCTTATTAGTCTCCACTGCACATTGTTCACTTGTCTCGCAGCTGTTCTTTTCCTTGTGAAGGCTAGAGACAACAGACTGAAACTCGAAGACGCCACGACAAGACACGCCGATGACCTCTCCATAAATCCACACGCGATGAAGGACCATAAAACGACGGCCGTTCCACAACTGACCACTGCCACGGTTAACATCAATCTCAGCAAAGGAGCAATACCCATTATTATTAATATTATCTTGAAGATTGGAGGCATTGTAAAAACCTCTTTGTGTATTTGTTTTGATCCAAAGTCCCGGACAAAGCCTTCGACACCTCTCTATTTGCTTTGTCTTTGTGATCTTTATGCTCTAGTTTATCGGACTTCGATCAAGCGTGACTAACAAAAACAACGTACATGGTCAGCGGATGTTTATAGTATCACGTGATCACATCGCACATGCCGCGGGAAGGATCTAACATGGCGTCATTCCATTCTTCTACTACAACTTTTTACTTACCGAATTTGAAAGCTGGGCAGAGATAGCGCTGAAAGAATTACTTAATATAAAAGAAAAATTATCCAAGTAAAGGGATTTCACGATGATGTTTCAGCAACCCCACCAACAATTGCAAAAGTTTGCCCCAAAGCCGCCAACTACTACCCCAGCTCAACCAGCAACTTCGACCGATTCGCAAGATGAAAAGGGTTTCCGACAGCCCATCACCTTTGATGGAAAACGGATGAGAAAGGCTGTTATGCGAAAAACTGTCGATTATAACTCTTCTGTTGTTAAACAAATCGAGGTACGAGTGCTTTTACTGCCGTTGTGTCGACATTCGAGAAAGGCCTCTGATCAAGGGCCGTGATAACTTTTTCTGTCAGATTTGGACTTTCTTTACCGAAGGGACACATACTTTCAGCTTGTCTGTCTCAAGTTAAGTTTTAGGGTTTTTCTTGACATCCGTTCAATGTCATTCGTACAAGCCCTCCTGAGGTACACAGTTTAATTCCCGGATTAATCGATCTGAGAATATTAATTGGCTTCACATTGAAACCAGTTATCGTTCCACAACTTGTTTTGCCCATGTTAACTACTTATGCATGTTAATTTCCGTGGAGAGATAAAATTTTGGAGCTACAAGGCTGTTTTTCGAATCAGTACCTGGCGGTGAAAACATTATTGACTCTAACGGGTCAACGAAAGGAGTTGATTTAGCCAGTGGAGTCTTGATTACCCTCATATTCGCCATGAAGTCGAGAGTGTTTGGAGGGGATTTTCTAATTTGATTCTATCGAACATTTTTTGTCGACCTTTCCTTTTGGAAATAATTGACCAGTTTACATCCATTTATTCAGAACAATAGGCAGCTAGTGTGCACACTGATATTTCTATAAATGTTTTGATTGATAAGTTATGTTTTTAAATCTGATCTGGACAGTGTTCTGCTAAAGATGAAGTACTAGCAGTGTTACCTTCTAATATCAACAGATTTTATTAGACTTCTAAATCCAGGGATTAAAATAGTTGTTCTCTTTATTGATTTGTCATAACTTCTACAAAAATATCAGTTCAAAGTGTCCAGTGGTCCATCAAAACAATGTCTATGGTTGACGATATTCTTTTTTTATCGTCTGTGTACCTGACTTTGCATTGATTTGTTTGGTTAGTTATTGTTTTGCAGAGCAGTTACATGTAGGGATGTTTTTACCAGAAACAGTTGCTTAAGGTGTTTGCTTTCCTTTTACAGAATAGAAAATGGTTTAAAGATTTAACAAGGAGGAGTGGAATGCAGCCTGATGACAGTTTTTCCTCAGATGTAAATATAAACTAACATGAAATAACAAACCCTGGGCTTACGTTTTTCTAAACGTCTAAATATTTTGTTTTTTGGGAGGGGGGGCGGTATTTTTGTAAGGAATTTAGCATTCCCAAAATGTTTTGGTGTGGATGGTGCATCTGAGAAATTTTTGTTGCATATCCATATTTATGTTAACATGCATGATAAAAGTCTCTGAACACAAGTTAGGGGGCTGCTAGTGAAAATGCTGTATCTTTCTTGTAGTGCAGTCTATCGCTAAAACTAAATATAATCCTCTGGGCATATATTTGGGTGATGTGGAGGTTGGGGGGGGGGGGTGTGAATTGATCAGCCTGGTCCATTGCTCATTCTGGGCATTTAATCTTGTAAGATGCAGGGCTGTCATTAAGTTTTGAGTAACCTGTAGCCTCGTTCTCCACACCTGTAACAAACTTGTTACTTTGTGGTTGAATTCTATCAACAACAGGCAATATTACCAGTAGCATCAAGGGAAAATCAAGCATACTCAGCCTTAACAGGTGTTACGGTTTACGGCCCTTAATGATAGCCCTGAGGTGTTATGTTTAAATGTTTGTTTCTTTGGTATAAATTTACGGTTTTTTGTTTCCTCTGAAGGTTTATCCACCGGGATGTCTCTTGGACAATCCCATCAATGCTGTTACTACAAAGTTTGTGAGAACATCTACTAATAAACTGAGATGTCCAATATTTTGTGTTGCAGTGAGTAAAATATTGTTTGTCTATTTGAGTGAGGAGTTGCTGTTAACTCATTTGTTTTATAAATCCATGAAAAACAATAAATCTGGTGATCAAATAATCATTGACCAATGAAAGTATTTCATATATAATTTTCATTCTAAACTTAACATGCATCTTACAGCCAATATGATCACAGCTAAACTGACCAGTCAGTTCAAGCAGGCCAACGTATAACAACATTGACCAACAAACACTTTTCACCTTAGTCGGAGGATTACATCTGCTTAGTTTGTTGAAACATCAGTCACTAACAAGAGTTCTTTTCAGAACTGCCCTCATCCATAGGAGAGAATCTAAACCTGAACATGGCTGTGCTTTATACTTGTTATCTGAAACAGATTTTTGTCCTAGTTGTCAGTTTTCATTTATACTTACATGTATGTTTGTTTTCCTGACAGTGGACTCCAGAAGGACGCCGGCTAGTGACGGGGGCCTCTAGTGGTGAATTCACTCTGTGGAATGGACTAACATTTAATTTTGAAACAATATTGCAAGTATGTAGTCCACGATCATACAATTGTTACTGAATTTAGGTTGGGATATTGTGAACTACTGTTAGAATCTCCTTTAAGTCATATTAATTTTCTTACAGAGCATAGCAAAATGTAACTGGACAAAGTCCTGAAATAATGTGTAACAAATAAATGAAAATGTACATTCTATTAAAGAGCTTAAATTGTGGATAAGACTTTCAAGTGCTTTTCGTTTTGCTGTTGTTCACTACATTTGGAAAGCGTTATTATCAATTTTGTCAACTGTTGAAGTTTTTCTGCATAATCCAGTTTGTTTTCCGCATGATTGACACATTTTTCCACATTTTCCCACCAAAAATTTCTGCCGGTAATTTGTTATTTTTTCTGCACCCTGTCAGATGGCATGCCATGAGTTTCATCATAATCATAACATATTTTCCAACTGGAAGGAGACAATCAAACCTCAAGAGGAGGCAGCTCGTTGAGCTGGCAACCGGCTGATTTTGAGAAGGCTTTAGGGGTGTGGGGGGTGGGGG